ACGGCAAATGGCGAATTGAATGATTTACGACCGCCTACAGAACCAACAGTGCGTCGAAAAAAAGCATCAATCGAATTATTGAGAACTTCAGGAACAAAAATCAAAGACAAACCGACGAGTTGAGGGACGAGAAGAGCGACCTTCACGAAGAATTGTCAGTTTCCTCATGCTGATGTCCATTGATGTTCATTGATGTTTATCTAATAGTCTATTCAGGAGCGACGAGAGAGCAGCTTTAGTCGGAATTCTGGGTTTTTGGGAAAACTTTTTATAAGAGATTTTGAACCAACAATTCAGAAATAAAGAAAAAGATAATGTGTAGTTGTTTGTTTTCAGAAGATTGTATAAAATGGGATTTATTGGTTTTTGCATAGAAAGGAACATAACGAATTCATCAGAATTGAGAACTCCTTTTGCAGATAAGAAGACGTTTGATTGGTAGGAGACCAGACCGCCCATTTCCCATCGGGCTCCCAAGCTGAAACGTGTTCATTTCTGATGGAAATCCTTTGATAAAACACTTTGCGCTATTCCACAAAAAGAAATTTCCTCAGATTGATCAAAATATTTTGCGATTAATTATGCTTTGGAAATTGGAATAAATATTGATGATTTCACGTTGAAAATCTCACCCTAGCGTGGGTGTTCGAACCCGGCTCTCCTTCATTCCAATTCGTGAAATCCACCGAACTTCCATCCGTCCATTCAAAAGCATTTTCTTTGTTCGAATTTCTCTGAATAAAGAAATTTTCATGTTTAAACAGTAAAGTTTATTTCTCTTTGAAATCTATCGATGAATGTTCCCTCTGAATCATCCTTTTCCTGCAAAATCTTTCCGCGATTTCCCCAGCTATCAGCCAGCCAAAACATAGACAAATTCTAAACATTTCCCCCTCAACCTTTCGGTATATAAACCCTCCTGTGCTTTTATAAATATTCTGTCTGAACCATGGGATAGAGACACATCTTATCCCGAACATTTTGGTGCGCAGTCCTGACCGATCATCTCTCAGCTCATCTCTTGGGGAATCTACTTCAGGTGGGAGCCCCTCAAATTTTTGGGGAGGACCGACTGAATAGGGGTGATCCCGAGAAATTCGAGAGCCGATGAGAAGAGACCCAATTGAGAGGAGGCTGAAAGATTTATTCGGCTGGACCCCCCTCCAAATCGAAGACTCGTCGATCCCGCGACGGTGTCAGTGATCAACCGAGAGCCCAACAAGCCTCATCAAGCCCACGGAAAACCCGACAATCCGACCGATCCAGCAAGAGCGTCGTGAAGCGACCACAAGCAAGGATCCCGAGCTCCAAGTCAAGCTCACCAAAGCCCTCCAGCTCGGGTCTGGGCCATTGGCCCTCTGGTTGTTGTAGGAAGCCGGGTCCATTCCACCATAGTTAATTTTTCTCGATTTTCGAAATTTCCATCCCTCTCGAAGCAATGTCGACTGGGTTTTCGTGGGTTCGCATATAATGGAAAGTTGCTTCGATGCTTGTAATTTCGGCGAGACGATTCTTCACGAAAACTGGTTTGTCGGCCGCATCTCCTCTTATCTAGCCCAACACAACTTGGCTATCACTCCAGATTGTACAAGCATGAACTCTCGGAATGTTTTTTCTGATGGTTTTGGCTTTTCGAAGACCCAGTGTTGCAGCCGTGAGCTCGAGGCGGGGCACCGTGTTTTCGCCTAGTGGAGTCACTTTAGATTTCGCCATGAGGAGGTGCGGGAGATGGTCGGAGTTCTTGACTTGGAGATATGCACAGACTCCAATTCCCACAAGGCTCGCGTCAGTGAAGACATGTAGGATCAATTCGCCTGGGATTGTTGGTAGCACATTCCTGGGTATTGTGATGATTGCCGAGTTCGTTTTGATCAATTCGTTGGCAATCTCGGGTGGCAAGGGTTGATCCCATTTCAGATCCAACTTCCAAGTCTTCTGGATGACACTTTTGAGAGGAAGCCAAATCGGTGCGAAGTAACCCATTGGGTCGTAGAATCTGGTGAGATTCGAGAGAGGTGACCGTTTGGTTGTGGTGGTCCATTCATTTTTTGGGATTCGGAAGACGATGGAATCGGTTTCGATGTTCCATGTGTGCCCCAAAACGTTGTACTTGGTTTTTTCGAATCTCCATTTCTTATTGTTCGACGGAGAATTGCTGACGAGATCCCTTAGCTCCATGCTGGCTTCTTGCAGCTTTTCCTTTGTGTATTCGATTTTGTTCTTGACCTCATCGGCAGTGTTTCCGGTGGCCAACATGTTGTCGACGTATGTTCCTTTGAGCACTTCCTCATTTCTTGGATCGCTTTCGTTGAAGAGCATTTTGAGGGTACCAGCCAGAAGGAAGGACGAACATTTCAAACCGAAGTTGAGTCGTGTGAAACGCATGTGTCGAATGTTTTCTTTCGTTATTGGTTTCTTCCAATCTTTGGGAACCAAGAATCTCAAGAGGTCCTTGTCGTAGGTGTTGAGTCCCAGTTAGAGGAAAGCTTGCTTTATGTCACCCATGGCAACGTGAGGAGCCGTTCTGAACATCAACAGAAATTTTACCAAATCCATGTGCTTGACTGGTCCTCTGTCATGTGGGAGTTCAGAGATGTTCGGCCTTTGCGTGCTGCAGACCCGTTGTGCACAATGCGGAACTTCTTAGTTACCACATGGAATGGGTTGTAGACACACTTTCCTCCTGGAGGGTTCTGGATTTCTTCGTCGGGAATTTGTTCAATGATTCCGTCTTTTTTCCAGAGTTCGAATCCCTCTTTGGTTTTGGGGATTGTTTCGGGACTCTTCGAGGCATTCTTTGTCCAAGCGATCAATTGTTGGATGGCCAGTCCTTCGTTTGAATCCAGTTGGACGTTTTCGTCGATTGGAATCGAGATGAGGAACCTGTTGTTCACGAACTTTGTCGATTGTTTGAACTTTTCGTATGTCTCTTGGTCATCGTTTTTGGTGTCTCTTTGGTCTTCGATGCCAATGTTGTCGAGGCTCAACCATTTTACGACTTCTTCTTGCATCACGCTGTCTTCATCGATGATAGATATTCCGTTGGCACATATAGCTCCTTCTTCGATGTTTTCCTCTTCAGCGGTGACACCATAGTTGAGTGGATTGTCCCCTCCAGACAAGACGACGCCCAATTTTGTGTCGATGATGTGGAGATTGGCAATTTTTCCTTTTCATTTGTTGATAACGAGGTTCCAGAAGCCGGCGATTCCAAGTAGTACATGTGGTTGTCTCTTCTCGGTCTGTATGTGTCCACGAAGTTTTTCTGGTTTGATGTTGGAGATGGCAATTGATCGCAATTTTGCTGTGATCTGCGAAATACCTCGAGCAGCCAAAGGGAAGGTGCTTCCATCAAGTAATTCGAGTTCGACGTTTGCAGCTTGGAACGGTAGTTTCTTTGTTTGGCCACCAAAGGTCGTGACATCCATGGATTGATGAGCAGCTTTTTCGATTCCTAGGAGTTCGAGAAGGTCGAAGGATACGTAGCTGAAGTCGCTGCCACAATCGAAAAAGATAGACGTTTTGACCCTTTTGTTGTTCTTTGGATTTCTCACGATCGCTTGGATGGTCATTAGGAGAACACCCTCTGGGGCCTTGCAATCAAGGGCCGTTGGCGCATCATCGATGGTTGCTGCAGCGGTGTTCCTTTCTGTCGATGGATTGGGGAGGTTGCAGATTGAAGAGTGGTGTTTCTTCTTGCACTTTCGATTTGCTTGGACATTTGGCCACGTTGTGTCCTTCTTGGAGACAGTTGAAGCATTTTTGGGTTGCTTGGAGATGGCGTTTCTTTGCTTCTGGGTTTGCAAATTTCCTGCACTCCAGTGATGCGTGCATTTCCGAGCAGTAGGCACATGCTTTTCGTGGAGATTTCTTGGTTCTTGTTTGCGTTTCGCTTGTATTGGGTGGGTTGGGTTTTCTGTGGAACTCGTTTTGTCCTTTCTCCAGTGGTCGGGCTTTCTTTGAGTAGGTGGTGACCATTGTTGTGGCTCTTTCGTGTCGTTTGAAGTGATGCTGTCGCTCGGCACCAGATTTCACGATTCTTGCCAAGGTTTTCCTGAGGTCGCCGAGTTTCCATACGGGAGAAGATAATTTCATTTGGAAGACGCTGGACTCGACCCATCTAGGAAGGGCTTTTTCGATTGCCAGTCGAATGGCTTCGGCTTCGACGTCCATTTTCAATGTCTCCGCTTGTTGGAGTAGAGCTTCAATTTCATCAACCAATTCCACAGTTTCGCTGTATGATTCGCCGTAGGGTCAGAGTGACAAGAATTGCGAGAAAATCTTGTTTCTGAGTGACTGTTCGTTGCCGAATCGTTCTTTTAATCGAGTTCTGACGAGGTCGTAGTTTTCTTCGGAAAGTTCGAAACCAGCAATTGCTTGCTTGGCCCGTCCATCGAGTGAATCGAACATGTATGCGAGCTTGACAACCTTTGGCCAATTCTGTGAATCGATTGTTTGGTCGAAGGCTTGTGTGAACAGTCGGAACTTGCTTTCATCCCCATCAAATCTTGGTAGCGGAATTTTGGGGAGAAGAAAAGACTGTGGAACAGATGGATTTGGAGCAGCGTAGAAAGGAGGGGTAGTTATTGTGGGTGAGGAAGTGGTGATGGTTGGTGAGAGCTCTCGGAATGCTTGGTGGGCACGATGCTTGAGACGTTCCAATAGCACCGCGTGCTTTGAAGCTGCCTCCAGCACTTCATTGGCTCCGTCATTTGAATCCAGATGTCGCTCCATTGCTTCCGCCTCTTTTACCCGTGCTTCTTCGCCAAGTGATGCGATGTAGTCTAACCATAGTTTCTGGGCCACATCCATCTCCTTTTGGGCTGACACGATTTCACCAAGGAATATCTCGATCGAGTCTGCGGCTTTGTTGATTCAATGTCGTTTGACAAGAGATCGCCTTCGAGTGATACGTCACTTTTTTTGATTCGCTCGAGAATCCCGGTGATTTTTGTGACGGCTCTGGTTACTTTCCCTTTCATCACGGCAGTCATCTTTTACTGTCGATTGTTGAAGGTGATGGTAAGCCGGCTGGAGTCGAAGCGAATGGTTCTGGCGGCCGCAGCAATTGCCTGTGCTGCCCGTCGTTTCGCTCCTCGATTGCGAGGTTTTCTTTTTCGTCTTGGTGATGTCTGGCGAGAAACGTCGACCGTGGTGCTTGTACCGGGTACTGCTTCTTCAGTACTTTGAGGTTGACTTTTTGACTCTGGGTTGAAGATCACGTCTGAGTCCACCGTAGGAATGGGCGTTGATACGCGATATTCTCCTGATGATTCTTCTTGAGTTGTGAAAATCACGCCGTTTGGAATGGGTGCTGGTACGTGATGTTCTTCAGGAGCTTCTTCTTGGCTGGATGGAGCAATGTCCTTTGGGCTTTCTGCTGTATGGGTCACCGGAGATTGTTCTCGTCTTCTAATCGCGAGGGCTCTTTTGAAGTGGCGAGCGACTGCAGACGGAACGTTGTGGTGACGGAGCAATTGGGTGACAGCTATCAAGTTGTCGTTGAAGTCCAGACGGAGAGCGATTTCTTCGGCTGGCTTGGCGAGAAAACCTTCGACGAGGGCTTCTATAGATGAAGGCTTTGGTGAGCTTGACTTGGAGCTCGGGACCCTTGCTTGTGGTCGCCTCACGACGCTCTTGCTGGATCGGTCGGATTGTCGGGTTTTCCGTGGGCTTGATGAGGCTTGTTGGGCTCTCGGTTGATCACTGACACCGTCGCGGGATCGACGAGTCTTCGATTTGGAGGGGGGTCCAGCCGAATAAATCTTTCAGCCTCCTCTCAATTGGGTCTCTTCTCATCGGCTCTCGAATTTCTCGGGGTCACCCCTATTCAGTCGGTCCTCCCCAAAAATTTGAGGGGCTCCCGCCTGAAGTAGATTCCACAAGAGATGAGCTGAGAGATGATCGGTCAGGACTGCGCACCAAAATGTTCGGATAAGATGTGTCTCTATCCCATGGTTCAGACAGAATATTTATAAAAGCACAGGAGGGTTTATATACCGAAAGGTTGAGGGGGAAATGTTTAGAAATTGTCTATGTTTTGGCTGGCTTTTGGCTGGGGCTGTTTTTGGCTGGGGAAATCGCGGAAAGATTTTGCAGGAAAAGGATGATTCAGAGGGAACATTCATCGATAGATTTCAAAGAGATAAACTTTATCGGAAGAATTTCCGAACACAATGCTTTTAGCTATATGTATCATGAGCATCACATAGATTCATTAGCTCAAAATTGCACCTCGTGCACCCGAAAATGCGCGATGAGACCGGTGTTGACAGGCTTTCCTCTGCTCCTATCTTTAAGGTTCTAAATTCTGTTTAGATAGCTGGTCTAATATTATAGAAAGAATTGATAATGTTTGTGTTGACGAAGCGTCAATCCGTTGTGTACTTGTATCACGAGCGGGCTTTATGCTGAATATTGCGTGTTCTTGTTATATTGTGGGGGTTTTGGGGTAACCCGTTTAACCTTTTGTTCTATTCGGCTTCTGAAACGAAATCATCCCCAATGATAGTATTGAAGCCGGTCACGCCTCGAACTATTGAATTCAGCCTATTCAGCCTGCTGGCACTTCTTCAAAAGAACAACCGGCTCCTCTCTAATAGTAATGCACCCTGAACCTTCGCTAAATTGCTCGAAGTCTCGAAAACCGATCAGAACCTATCGATCTGGGGTCGGAAAATGTAGCTGATGATGAGATCTTGTGGGGGATTTGAGTATTGAGCTTCTGCGAAAACCTCGAAACCGTAAAATAGTCATCAACTCGACTCGGCGGGGTGCACTACTATTAGAGAGAATACCGTAACTAGCTAAGATTTATATTTCTGATTTTTCTTTTTATCTTTGTTTTCTATCAACTATTTAAGCATAAAGTTTTATTGAGATATAACATTATTTTGAGATATCACAGTTCAGTATCACAATTCTTTTATGCCGTTTCAATGACCTTTTGATGGATGAACAGTCACGGTGGTCGAACTTCTTGTGCTTGCCGGCTTTTCTTTCGGTTTTCCGAGGAAAAGTGCGGTGATTATACTAAAATGAGAAGATTTCTGCTACAACATTGTAAGTGTTAAAATGAGCGTAATCTACAGTAAAATATGGTTTTGTGCACTAACCTCAAAGCAAGGTTGAAGAGAAAAGCGTGGCTGAAATCACGAACAGACATCAACATATTGGCAACATCCCAGTTGAAAAATAAATTCGAAACGTTTCCAACGAAATAGAAACCAATAGTGTAAGTGAAAGTAACCAGAGAACTGATGATCATCTAAAGAGATTCGTTCAAGAGAGGTAGAGCCTTCACCAACTTGTGTCATCAACAACATCTCTGCTCGGCTGGCGTGGCCGCTGTGTTTTAGCTAAAAGTTCTTTGAATCAAAAATTGCATTGCCAGTCTTCTGGTGCAGTTGGCTTGGTTTTGCCTCAATTGTGTCTGTCTATGATCTTGATTGCTTTCCTATTTCAACCCGGCTTCAGCCTTCCTGGTATTGATTCCAAAGATGTTCTAGCCCGATTGTAAAAGCCATATCCTGACCTGACCTTTGCGCTTGCCTGATCTGGCCTTACTGCAGGCCCTACAAAGGTTCCTGAGTTTCCAGGAACTGACTTCTGGCAGGTTTAACATTGCTTGGTCTAGCTTAGCTTCCTTCCTTTCTTCCTTCTTCCTTACTTTCTTCTTACTTTCTTCTTACTTTCTTACTGCTTTCTTCTTTCTTCCTCCTTTCTTCCTTCTTCCTTTCTTACTTTTTCCTTCCTTCCTTACTTCTTCCTTTCTTTCCTCTTCCTTGTGTTTTCTATTTCTGCTTGGGCAAAGAAGGCCAAAACCGGAGATAAGGCCAAAACCAGACCAAAACCATTTCATGACTCCCCCAAGTACGTATTAAATCGAGCTTTTTGATCTCTGCGTTTTTATGATTTTCCCTACTTTCACTTCATCCGCTTGATTGAGTTTTTGGGGTTTCTTCTAGGAATTGAATTATCGCAGATCGGGCTCTAAAATGAGTCAAGGAAATGTACTTCAAAAGTTTTTTTAGTCAAAACTTCTAACAATCGAAAATTGAGTCAAATGGGAACAGTTACGCGTACTTTCCATCCCACCGAGACAAACCTTTTTCATTTTACGTCTGATAACAAAATCGAGGGCACAAGTGAGAAAATATGGAGCGTAAACGACGAATGGATCGTAGAAGTACATCCAGCCACTATAAAGCTGTTCTTGGCAGAGTTCACCCAAGTAGCCGATCGCAAATCGAAGGGCGTACGGTATGAGAACTTGGAGATAAGGCAATCGCATTGAGTATCGGAAATAGGCACCGTCAAAAGCAAGAGCAAAGAAACGACTGAATCGGTGAAATTGTTAACATCAGATGGGTTTCCGTCATTTAAAGGTAATGTAAAAGTTAGAGTTTTAGAGTAAAACTCTAAACCACACCCAATCCGTACCCTTTGCTTTCTTTTTCTGCTCTTAAAACTTGCAAAACCGTATTGAAGCTGGCTTTGGGGGTGGCTGCTTTGCGCCAATTTTTTTTCGCTTTCTTCTAGCTTGCTAGGAGGTTGCGCAACCCGCCATAGCTTGCTTCTAAGTAAGCCAATCTTTATGATCTTTGTGTCATTTTGTTGCACTTGCTAAGATCTACAAAATGACACCAAGATCATAAAGATTGGCCTACTTAGAAGAAAGTTATGGCGAGTTACGCGAAAGACCCAGTTGGCGCAAATTAACCAACCCCGCTGGATTTCCCTTACAATTAGATCGGTGCCAAGCTACCGTACTATGTCTCAATACGGTTCCTCTTGTCAGCTGGATCCAGTAACTGTAACCAGGATGCTCAACCACTCAAAAAAAAAGGAAGAAAAAGTGACCAACCTCAACGAGATGCAAAATTGACAATATTGAGACATATCGCTGAGACCATAACGAACAATGTAAAACGAATTAATTTGTGAGAGCCAAAGAACCATTTGATAAGGGCAGCTAAATCTTAGGTTGGGTACTTGATATTGCAAAGTAAAGTTTATTACATAGATTCTAAATAGATTAATGAAGCTATTTTTATGAAACTATTTATCGTTAAGGGCCTAAAACAAATCAAGGGAGCCGACGCCTTTCTTCCATGGAGCATCGTTTTCACAGCTATTGGAGGGGAATTTCAATCGATGAATCGAATGGGCGACAACAACAATCGGAAACAGAGATAGTGCAGTGATAAATCAAACATTTTTTGTGTATTTGTTAGCGAGAAGTGAAATCCGATCTCCTCAATGCGAAACTGACGAACACGAACGGTAATGTGCAGTTGTGTGTTTCCAGAAGACTGAATAAGATTGGATCATTGGTTCTTGTCCACATAAAGGAAAACAAAGCATTTATAAGAATTGAGAGCCCCTTTTGCAGATAAGACCAGACTGATAGTCTGGTCTGTATAAAGAATCTGGCTCAAAAACTCAAAACTCACAGAAATCCATCTGCTCATTTTTTGCCTCCACGTGCCAACGACTAAACGGCTTCCGGAAATCTCCTCGAGAAATTGTGAGTTGATCCGTGAAATTACATCAACATCCCTTCCCCAACGCTCTTCCCCAAACATTTGCCGAATACCTAAGAAAAATTTCATTCGTTTCGACCATTTGCAGGGTGATCAAGCCGAATTTGGCCGATCAACTCAAGAAGAATCCGGCTCCAATTGGATAAAATGCAGGACTGGATAAAGACTGGATAAAGACTGGATAAAATGGGATTTATTGGTTTTTGTCCACAGAAAAGAACACAAAGCATTTATGAGAATTGAGAGCTTTTGCAGATAAAACCCTCCTGAATGGTAGGTTGAGTGGTCCCCCATTTCCCATGGCAGCTCCAAAACTGAAATGTGTTCATTTCTGCTGGAAATCCTTTGATGAAACCTCAGAGCTATTTAACAGAATGAAATCCCCTAAGCTTGATCCAAATATTTTTGGATTAACTCTGCATTGGAAATAAATAAATGATAGATACATAATAGATTTCACGTTGAAAATCTCACCTCAGCGTGGGTTTCCGAACCCAGTTCCCTTTCATCCCAATTCGTGAAATCCACCGAACTTCCATCCGTCCATTCAAAAGCATTTCCTTTGTCCGGATTTCTCTGAATAAAGAAATTTTTATGTTTCACCGTTGATATTTCGATTTTCTTTCATTTTAAAACTATTCTAGTTTCCCAATTGAAACCATTATTTCTATCAAAGAACTATCAGTCAAAGGGCTCATTTTTTCTCAAAATGGCTGAAAGAATTATTACTTTTTATTTATTTATGTCTTTCAATAAGAAAAATTCAACCTTCAGTCCGATCCAGAAACCATCCGACCAAGTAGCCGAACCGAGTTCCTGAACAAAATCGTTCTCTTCCTGACTGTGAATTGAGACTAAATCGATCCTTCGACTCGCACAATATGCCACAGCTTCATCGAATGTCATATATTGATCGATAACCTTGAGATGAAGATAATCCTGGTTCACAACATCCACCAAACCTTGTACCAAGAAGCGGTTTTTGCCAAATACGACCATCCATCCCGATCCAAGAAAGTCATCGTACGATCTCTGAATTTCTTCGAAAAACCTTACTTCAGATATTTTGGATAAATACTCAATCCTTTTCCTTAAAAACTGATCAATCTACCTGCAACGTTTTTCCCTTTTAGATTGTCTAGAGAGGAATTGATTGGATTGAGTGGACTGGGTGCTTTGGGAGTGAAAAAACTGTTTTCTCAAGTCTCAGTCGACAAGAAATACCAAATAAACTCACATTTGGGTTTCGAGATCAAAGTTTTTGCTCCGCAACGCGTTGATTTTCCCGTCGAGCTCTCCAATTTTGGCCTTTCCTTCCCTCACCTCCATAATTTGAGTTCTTCTGAAAAAAGTTCGCATTTTAACTATATATTGAGCTTGTCAGAAAAGAAAGTCACGAAATTAGTACAATTGTGCTTCAAGATCGTCGTTTTTCCTTTTCGTCTCGGCGATTTTCCTTTCCAACTCTCCAATTCTCTCCCTTTCGTCAACCAAATCGGCCTCCAACTTTGCGATTCTCAAATTCGCCTCGATTTGAACCATATTTGCTGCCAATCGACTCATCTCGGCCTCTTTCTCCTTTTTCATTTCTTCCCTAAACTCTTCGATTAAATTAAAGACTGTTTTGGATAGCAGCAAAGATTCGGCGAAAAACCCACAAATGGGCTTCGAGTTGGGCGATTTTCTTCAACAAGATGGCCGATTCTTCTATGCGTTTGACATCCTTTTCAGGCAATTCTTCAGTCATTTCGGGCATTTCTGGAGATTTGAAAAAAGAAGAGATGCTCTGAATACATCGAGGAAGAAGATTCGAGAGATTGTCCATTTCGGTTGCTAGACGATTGGATGCCTACAAAATGACTGAATTTTCTCGAAGAACAAGTGAAAATTAAAGGAAACAGCTACTAAAGAGGCAGAATTGATGAGAGAAGACCAAATCAAACAAGAAATTCGTTGGCAAGCAAAATAGGGATTTTTTTACCACGGAAAATAAAGAGAAAGGAGGGGAATGCCCGATTTACAAATGACAGGGAATTTCAGTTTGAAACGGTTCCATGTGACGATTTTTTTGGAAAGATGAGCCGTAATGGTGTTCGTTGAGAACAGGAATTGATTCTCCAAACGTCCGTATTTGTTGTGCTCCTCGAAAGAGATTATCAAATGATTTCGATCGATTCCCCCAGAACTTTCGATACAGATTCTGTCCCATTTTCGGAGAAACAAGCATTTCTGTTGAGATCGGTGGCTTTCCTCTGCTTCAAGTGCCTTTCCATTTCCAAGGAAATTGAAAAAAAGCATTAGCCCTTCAATCTTGAGGAATGATGAAGCATTCTTGAAGAATTCTTAACAAAACCCTGCTTTCTTTATACAGTTCTGATAAATCTAGGCCGGATACTTACTCAAAGAAGCTGATGATCACTGTTTTCAGGCTTCGCTTTGCTTCAGCACTGTATAAAAAAGTATAAAAGTATAACTATAAAAAAATTACTAATCCCCACTTGAATCCGAATCTGACGAGCTTGAAGAAGTAGTATCAGAGTCACGGTCGCTGTCATCGTCGGATGATGATGAAGAGGATTCAGAGCTTGATTCGGAGTCAGATTTCTTTCTCTTTCCGCCTCTTTCCCAAAAACTCGCAAAGATCCAACCTAAAATTTATACACTTATTAGCTTTCTCAAATCTTTCTTACGTCCGTCTACCAAGACCGATTAATGTGAAGAAATTGATGGCGAAGCGGGTATTGGCTGGGTTGTCCCGAGGAAAAAGTCCCTCAAACGCCCAACCTCCAATTCTGGCTTGACACCCATTTTGAGAAGTTTGTGAGCGACCTCTTGATCGTCGAGCGATGATTGAATTGTCAAGTAAACTTCGCGACGGGAAGCAACGAGATTTTGCTCAGTGTTGTCAATAATCTCCATTTGTTGAGGTTGAGCCGAAATAAGTATTTAAATATTGCATCAGATTTGTCTGGAGTTTTATAAAATTTAAATCGATGAAATTGAATGTCTACCGTTTGCAGCTGCCTCATCGTCACCTTCTTCATCCTCGTCCCCTTCCCTTTCACCGGCGTCACCAATGATTTGTTCACGGATCTGGTTGAAGGCAGCTTCATTTTTCTCAAAATCAGGATCCAATTTCAAAGTGTCTGTAAAGTTTGTTTGAAAGCCAAGTTGATCGAAAATTAAATTTTTTAGTTCACCCACTAAGCATATTTTCAGGATCGGTAGCATCTTCAAGGCAAAGGGTATGTGTAATTTGGCCCTCTTCCGAGACAAGATCGAGTTCATCAATTAAAGCTGGGTAGTTCTAAAGGAATAAACTTTGCCAGGCAATAGAACTGAAAACTTACCGCAAGTTTATCTCTCCGAATTGCGATTGCAGTTTCAATCATATAACGAATACGTGAATCCAATTGTGCTTCAGCAAGAATGTTTCGAAGTCTTGATAAAACATTGTCCAAGGCATGCGGAGCAATCTAACAAATCATTTCTCAATAAGCGTTTCTAAATAAAGCAAACCTCCATGGGAAAATGTTGGAGAAAAGTCTTGTGCTTGAATTACCGATCGAGTCAGTAAACCCCAAAAATTTTGTTTGCTTGAGAAAATGTTAAAAAACAAACTTTCCGTGGTTTTCTTGAAGAAGCTCTCGCACAATTCCGACAAGATTGCTGGCGTTGACTTTATTGACGAGACCGTGGATCTTTTTCTTCAGAAGCTCCCAATTCAACCGTTGAAGTTGCTCACCCGATTTATCCTAATTTTTTTCTGTGGCCACGTTATCATTTGATGCATTACCTGGACTTGTTCTTGCATCAACTTCAGCCTCGCTGGTGGGTTGTATTGGCCTCCAGTAAAAGAACGTAATAAATCAACAGGCTGTCTTTTCCTAAAATGCATTTACTTCAACAAAGTTTCTTGTCTACTTTTTGAGGAGCTTCATTTTCTTTTGCCTTTTCTGGTGATTCTTCACGTCGAGCAAGCTTTGGCGTTAGCGACCTAAATCACTAATACTGAATGGAACCGAGGTTAAACCAACCCTTTTCGCCGTTCAGGACTGGCATGACGCTTTGGTGACCGAGATCTAAATAATTTTCATGAAAAAAGGTGCAAAGCTCTATTACCGACTTCGTCTTTCTGGAGAAGCTTTACGTTTAGGGATGGTCACCTAAATCAGCTGTAAACAAACCCATTTTTTAAGACTAACCGTCTTCGCCTTCGGTGAGCGGTCGCCACCTCTGCGTCTTTCTGGTGAACGTTCATGGTCTTTCTTCCGAGCTCTGGCTCTGGCGACTTTTCGTTACTAAAGACATTTGGCTTTGGCTATCAAAAGCTTTTAATCAACCAACCTGCCAATGTACTCGTCCTCTGAAGAGCCTTCCCCGGAGCCAGATGGAGTCCTAAATGTTTCATCGTCATAAAACTGAGTTCTGATAAGTGCTTCACGCAATAGCAACAACATTTGCTTTTAATTTGCATGTAAATTTCCAAGTTTATAGGTATTGCGTTTGATTCACGCCCCATGAACCGTTAATATATTTAACTCAACAAATTAAACCTTATTCATAAAAATACGGAAGATATCAATAATAACGTTGCACACTCAACAAGTTAGCAAAATGATAAATAATGAAAACTAGGCGATCAACCTTCCGAGTCTTCGGCGCCTCCGATGTAGAGGATGTTGTTGCACCTAGATTTAAACAAATTAGACAAAAGTCGCACTAATCACCTTATTAAAATTTCTCCCAAAGCTCCAGTGTTTGTTCCATCAATGTATTCCTTTGCGTTAGCCATCTAAAAGATGAAAATTTTATTTGTGAATGCCTAGGCCTAAGCAAGCTTACTCGTCATATATCTGACGGTTCACAAGCGACATCAAAACTAACAAAATTTAGAACGTACCTCTCCAAACTAGCTTTAAGCTATGCCATAAAAACTGTACACAAAGCCCACCCCACCTGGACATTCATGTAACCGTCGACCGAGATGAGGACGCCTCTATATTCCATTCCCCACTTCAATCTGCATACAACTGGTTTTCCGGCGAGTCCATTGAGGCGCGGCTTTGGGTTGAACAGACATTCTCTGAAAACAAAATTAAAAACGAATTGAAGTAGATAAAATGTTAAAAAGAGCAAGATTGACGCGGGAAGGTGTCCTCGTAAACAAAAAGAAGGGTTTTTCGAAATAAATTTTGGAAGAAAAGGATTCGAATACAAGACAGGCATATAACTAGGCGCTTTATGGAGGAACAGTGTGGTTTTTGCACGAGGGAAGAGAAAGGGTGACAGAAATAGAAAGGCGTAAAAATTTAAGATTTGCTAATTCAAGAGCACGCGAAAAATAAAATAATTGCTCGACTGAACTTTTTTAAACCACTAGAAGTAAGTTGAAGATATTCAGCTAAATAATTAACGTCTATATTTTTTTAAATAAATTTTTTTTTTTCTTTTTTTTTTTTTGCCGAACGCTCCACAATCCCGAACGAACAAATGCCTGCCTAAAAATGTTCATTAATAGTATAATTGACCATAACAACGAAAGAAATGTAAACGAAGTAACCAAAACAAAAATCTTTCTAGCAATCACAAATTAACTGTAAAAAGGGATTGTATTCATTTCCGCCCCCGCGGGCCAAAAATCGACGATGTCCTCGATGATCACTCGAACGACTCGAATGCATTCACTCTGGCAGGCAAATTGCGATGCCACAATCCCTCAGCGATATACGAATCCAGCATGGTGCCGTGGGTGCCGTGTCGACGTCTGTTCATGTCTTTAAACGGTTTCCACATTCGCTCGATTGTTTGCGTGTGCACGGCCAGATCTGTCGTGAGTCCCTGGCTCCATAGATGAATGAACTTTAAAATTGTGATGAACGGGAGCTTGCTTTGTTGCAAAAAGTTATCGACTCGAACTCCTCTTGAATGCTTGGGGACCTTTCGCCTTTTGCTTGGGGACCTTTTGTCACATAGCCAGCGAAATAGATCTTTTTCCTTTGAGTGGACTTTCATCGATTCGCCACAATTGCAAATCCACGACTGGATGACTCCTTTGGTGACGAAATAATCGATTGCCGTCGATTCCTTGAACGCACAAATGTCGGAGAAGCGCATCGTCGTTAAAGTTTTAAAAAAAACGTTGCAGTCAAAATACAGTACCGGAAATGCATTTTTCGAGGGAACAAAATTTGCTCCCCTGATTTTCCTTTCGTTCCCCCGATAATCCTTCCGCTCCCCCGATATTGGAAAAGTACCAGGTTTCGGATATGCTTTGAAGAGGTCCGATTTGGGATTATATTCATCCTCTTCGAACTCGTGATAAACTTCTTCATAAAACATGTTCCCTTCAACAGTGTTCAAAAGAATAATGACAATCTTCTGCCCTTCGCGATGGCACAAAACTTGAGAATCCTGAACATATTCAAAACGTTTCACAAGCACTCCAAGTACATGAGCTGGATTGGTGTGTATCTGAAAAAAACAAAATTATTGGTGAATTAGCTTACTTAAAATAGAAAGAAAAGGCGAATGGTTGGTAGATTTGAAATCGCTGACCCCACAGAATTGGTTTCACAAGTTTTAACGTGTCTTAAAACAAAAAATGTCGTCGAAAGGAGTCGAACTCCAGTCATTTGGTTGGGAGACCGGAACAGTGCCACTTCCCCGACGAGGATGAATCTGCACACAAATGGATGAATGAAGTGCTCAATTTCCCAAAATTGTAGGCCTGATAGCTCGAGTTTAAGAAGCGTT